TTTGCAATATGTGGGCCTCTCACTGTCGTGGCCTTTCCCGTTGCCGGATGCGCAAGCTCAGCGCCCATGGCTCACGGGCCCAGCCGCTCCGCGGCATGTGGGATCCTCCCGGACCGGGGCACGAACCCGTATCCCCTGCATCGGCAGGCGGACTCTCAACCACTGCGCCACCAGGGAGGCCCCTACACTGGTTACTTCTTAAAGGGTGACTGATTATCTCCACGCTGCCCTTGTTTTTTGAGTGTTTCTGAATATTGTTAGTCCGGCCTCTGTTTGCTCAATAAAGAAGATAAATGACTAAATCCCGTGCCTTTGTGAATTACTGACGGTGAAGAGGTATCTCACAATAACTACATTTAATGGCCTTATAAAGGTAGGGAGAATTCTTCCTCTAACACTTCTCCCTTCTCATTTATGAAAGTCTTAACACGGCCAGCTCTGAAGCATTTTTTTCTATTTCCCCAAGTTTTCCAGCTTTACTACTTTTATTTCAACTCAGGAAAATAAGCATTTTCATCTTTAAAAACAACAGTGATTGTACAGTTGGGAACTGTGTGCCTCTTATGTATTCTCTCATTTGCTAATCTCTACCTCTGTTGTTTCTGCTTGTGTACTTGCATTCTGTATTAAGCTGCAGAAGATAGTAATCTCATCTCAGGTTTTGATGTCCCTGAGGGCTCGGACAAGGTGGCAGAAGATGAGTTTGACCCTATTCCTGTATTGATAACCAAAAACCCACAAGGTAAGAAAGAGAGGATGGGGAAAAGAGAAGAGTTTGACATCAGCTCTCTTCAAAATAGTAATGTACCTAATCTACAAGGTGTGTGTGGGGGGAAAAGCATCAACATTTAATGAAGGAAATTGGGGGTAATAACGATCATTATGGGCTGGACCAGTGTAGATGGATGGAGACACAGGTAAAGGTACTAATATAGGTATCTTAAAGCATGACCATGGTGTTTATTTAGAGAGAAGAAAAGTAGTATTTGACTAAAAGTAATAGTTTGACTAAAAGCTGGTTTGTTACAAAGTATCAAGCTAAAAATAAAGTGATCTTCAGTCAATGGAAGCCTGAAGATATATATAAAAAAAAAACAAGATATTTCTTATCATGATTAGAACAATCTGTAATAAATATTCTTCCCAAAGAGATTAACAATGGTACTTTGATATCATTTGCATCTTTTGGACATTTGTGGAGCATGCTTTTTCTTCTTTGTTGGATTAAAATCATTTGACCATGCCATAAAACACTGAATTGCCCTAAGACCATATATATATACATATATATATATGTATATATATATACACACATATATATACATATATATATACATATATATATATATATAGGTGTTATTTACATTTATTTATTTATTTATTTTCTACACTCAAAAACCCAAAGCTGTTTTGTTTTTTTTTAACATCTTTATTGGAGTATAATTGGTTTACAGTGTTGTTTTAGTTACTGCTGTATAACAAAGTGAATCAGCTGTACTTATACACATATTCCCATATCCCCTCCCTCTTGCATCTCCCTCCCACCCTCCCTGTCCCACCCCCCATCTATATATTTTTAAAGCATGTTTTTATTACAGTAGTCTTAATAACCAATTCCTCCCCAAATCAAAAATTATGGATTTTTACTTTACAGGGAAATGAATTGATGTTATCAGGAAGTTAGTATACAGCCAGCAGTTCTCAGGCAAAATAGATATTCATTTGAAAATAGCATCCTCTTTGCAAGGTCTCCTGCCTACAGTAGGGTATGCACACAGTGCTTGAACATTTGGTGGGAGGTGGTGGATCGCTAATTTATATGTTTAAAAGTTAACATGTAAGAGTTTGCAAAATGTAAATTGTTGTTTCTCTAGGGTGTTTTGTTTTGTTTTGTTTCTCCTTTGCTTGCTCTGCACATCTAAACCCTAACCCTCTGTGTTTTGTACTGAATTCCTATCTCTCCACTTCCAGGTGGGCACTCTAGAAACAGCAGTGGGAGCTCTGAGTCCAGTCTTCCCAACCTAGCCAGGTCTTTACTGCTGGTGGATCAGCTCATAGACCTGTAGCCGTGACCCAGTAGCAGATGAAGTTCTGTAACCTTCATACCGTAATATACATTTTCATTACAGAGTTAAAAGAAAAGGATTTTTTTTTTTAATCTGCAAATAAGGGGCCTTCTAGCCCTAATCTCCTACTACCCCTTGCCTTCTCCCATAGAGATGATAAGGAAAGAAAATCACTTTGGCCCTCCAGATACTCCTTGGCTAGCAGCTCCTCTCTGTTAGTTTGCTGTGTTTTCTCATTACCCTTCTTCAATAGCATTATCTTAAATCAAACGCTAGATGCCATGAGCTTCACCTCTGCTGGAATCGACTCCACCAAAAGCTTAACTGTAACTGAAACTAGTGAATTGACACCTTTGTCTCATTCTTGCTAGGAATGGCCTCCCAAATCAATCCTCCCAACCCCATCTCCTTTGGCCAGTTGCTGATGAATGTGTTTCTCTGTTTTTGCTTTTTATGCTGCTGCATTATCATGAGGACATGGCTTCTTCAGTTGGTCTTAACTCGAGGTAGTAACCTGGAGATGGGTGTGTGGTTTAAGAGAGGGTAAAACTGACTGATGGTGTATGTTTGGAAAGAGAAATTGAGCCCAGCTCTAGCCAACCAACTTTGACCTTGTTTGATCGTAGACTTAGCCAAGGGATTTCACACCCCATGCAACCTGCCCAGCATTCGTCCAGCACTCTGGCTTCCATTGAACCGTGATTTCTCAGATCTGGAGACATGACTGCAAGTACTTGAGATCCTTGGATAAAATGTGTACATTATATAACTTCCAAGTATTGCCATTCCTTTTCGTGTTAACTGTCCCAAGCCGGGATCTCAGAATTAGACCAAAACCAGACAGTGGTGGTAATATGATACCTTTTATTAGAAGACTTTTCACGGGGGGGGGAGGGGGGGGGGGGTGGG